TCTGGTACACTCCGCGCTAAACAATGGTGGCGCTCCGCTTAGATAGTCCTGCCGGCACTAAAACCATCCTGGGCAGAACCCTGGTACATGTAAGTACAGCACTGTACATGTACATCGAATACATGTGCATACACTGTACAGGTGCTTTATGGAGATCTGTGAAAGCAGTGTAGTATTTCAGGGACCACACCCAATACGTCAAAGCACTGAAAGAAACCAATAGGTTAACATATACATGTAATATACATGTACACATTCTAAGGTCCCAAACCTGCTTACATGTATATTATCATTAACTTCTGTGTTTCTTAAACAGTCAACAGAAAATTCAGTTTCTAACAAATTGTACGAGGAAGAGTGCTTTTCAAGAAAAGCGCAATTTCTGACATTGGTCATTAATTCTATTTCTCGTGTCTCTTTGTAATCTAATTTTATCTGCCCTTTTAAAAATAGCTGTACAAGGTTCTAAATAACGGTTCCTTGACAGTTGAGGAGTACAGCTTGCAGACAGTTGAACCCAAAACCACCCCACTGTGAATAAAAATACATGCATGTACTTGAACTTTTTCCCTCAAACTCTCCCTTTTCCCTTGGGGCGAGTGAACTCCACATTTCTCATCAAGGATATTTGGAGCCCTCAGGGATTTCACTACAGGAACAATTTGGGGTGGGATTAGGGCAAGAGCCAAGGTACCTGGTACATGTAGGGGTGATAAGACAGAAAGCAAACAATAAAGTGCATCATGTTTGGCCAGGAACTCAGGCCATGTGCATGAACATCAAGCCTGTTGCCTGGCCAGACACGGGGGGGGGTTGTCAAACGAAAAGTGGAACTTTTGGCACTGTGAACACATATTTTTATACAAAGGCCTATCACAATGTGCTTTGGAAAACAACGCTGAAAGGTTGCATGTCTGTCGCTAACCAAAGGTTGCATGGAAGACTTGTAACACTGTAGTTTTCAATACTGAATAAACTTAACAACAATACATTGATTTCAAACCCTTTGAAACACCTGAAATGTGGATATTTGCCGAAACATCCTGACAGTACATATGACTAGAGATTGATTAATTAAACCCCAACTCCCTGAGGTGTGTGAAAAATCATATTAAAATTGAAGGATTCAGGGCTGTCAGAGTTAATATGCAGAATCGAGTTCACCTTGAGCTTGAGAATCAACGTATAAGCCATGGCTCGTAGGCCAAATATTATATGTACCATATATTTGAAATATTTGGTACCAAAAAAAAAAAAGAAAAAAAAAACAACCACCAAGCGGAACTCAGAAGCAAGGGGGGGGGGGGGGGTTTGAACCCCTCAACCCCCCCAGCCTACGGGCCTGCACATGTATATTAGGTGCACAATAGAGGTTTTACAACCAAGTACACGTACGTAATGTAACCAAATCTGCCATTACATGTATGTGTGCCAACTTGTGACAGGATTTTGTTGCACGGTACCAGTCTGTGTTTATTTAACATATGCATGAATTACCAACTGGCAACTGATTTTCACCGCACATCCACTTCCATAACATAACAGTGACCTCTTCCTCTAAACATGACCCCGCATTGACGTCATTTCTCCCACCAGCAATCCTCACAGCCACAATAGGGTCGGTCCTGTGTACAAACTTGTCCATGTCCCCATCGCTGCACATGTAGGACTACATGTACATGTACACGTATTTATGTCAACAACTTGAGGTCTGACATGAATATAGCAGGCGGGCCTGCGTCACTCTTGTTCAGTGCAGCAACAAAGGCATAAACTGTACACATGTAAATGCATGCATAATGGATAAGTACAAGTTGAACATATATTTCAGAACCACAGAGCTACGTGTATCCATTAACTGTGTGTTGGAATGTTTTGTTACTCCATGCACAAAGCACACGTACCAATTTGATCACTTTCACTTCTTACAAATTTCAAACTGCCAACAGTGATCAACTGCTGAAGACTTCTTCCTGTCCCTCTCCTCTATGTACATGTACATGTCTTGCAATAGACCTCTTGTGATTGGATATTGCTCACTTTGGTGGCATTCTTAGGAATGTACACAAACAGAGTTCCTGCTGTATTTCATTTCTACTGACAACTGGTCAGTGAAAAGACATGGCATTTTTTTTTGGGGGGGGAGTTGTTTCAGAATTTGCAACAGGTTTATGTACTGATAGCCATCACTGGTTACCTGCCATTTTTGGCCGGTATAAGGTATTCGGGGACATGTATACTAGTTGCAGCTGTAAAATTTGAATAGTACTTCAAGCAAAATACATATAGATGCATATTTGCATATATTCATAAATACACCTACATTCAGGACGCAGAGTTACATTGTACATGTAGTTTATTAATTTGATGCATATCAGGCTATTAATGTTCGATGCAATATACAGGATCAGTTCTGCATGCTGTGAAAAAGATCTCCTTTAGTTATACAATCAAATTACAGCTATTCTCCTGGGCCCACGCTGGGATAATTGATCAACTGCTCAGCTCTCACCAGCTTCTGTTGTTAACGTGTAGTACATGTATACGTGTATTGCTATCTCATCAAGAACAGCAAAGCAAAGACGGAAAGGTTCATTTTTGAACTCAAGAATCCAAAACGAGTACGGTATCTCATGTTACAACGCAGGTCTCGGTAATTTCT